GACTTGACTGAATTACTCGATGACTGTTTTAGTCAACACAAGAGTCAAAAGGTCACAACTAGAGCTATTTTTTGCCAACAACTTGTTTTTAACTGTAAGGCCGTAGGTAAATGTGTTGGTATTGAGTGAAATATGCTTGAGACTCTTTTATTCATTACTACTATTTTTGCCTAAGCATAAAAGAAAACGGACTCAATCCCTTAAGAAGGTTGTCACGCCATCCATCGTTGGGAAGAGCCACCCGGTTCAGACAAAAATCACCTTTGGAAAGAACTATGACATTAAGAAAACCAATAGCCTATTGCTCACTTAAGCATAACAAGAAGCTACCAAATCAAAAAGAAGCTACTAAAGTAAATAAGAAGTTATACTATTAATAAAAACAACTAAAGAATCTCTGAAATAAACTACGAAAAGTAAGGCAAATGAATATATAAACCGAAGGGAAATGATATATACATCAAATGAAAGGGAAGAATATATACATAACCAAATAGAAAATAAAGATGAAATAAAATAGTATTATAGTTATTACAGGCCAACGTCAATGTCAAATCAATCAAAATAGACCACCCCCCAAATAAAAATAAGCATTGTCCCCAATGCTTAACAAAAATAAGAACAAGGAAGGGTAGAGAGTTGAGAGAAATCCATGTGGTCTCAGTCTACATGGCATACAAAGCACCCTCGGTCTCCTCTAACTGTGTCTCATCATCACCTAGATGAGGAACAACAGGGTTGCTGAGCATCTGAAGTATCTCCTCAGCAGTGTGGGCAATAAGGTCCGGCTCCTCAAACTGGCCGGGTGTTGCCTTTGATGCCTCGGGTACTGCTGGGGCTGCTTGTGGTGTCTCCATAAGAAGGTCAATAGGGATATCTCCAACTGATACAAGCTTGGCTACCTGTTTTCTCAATATGTCCACTAACTTCTTTGATGCCTGAAATTCCCTCATCTTCTTAACCTGTTTGCCCAGATCCTCAATAGCTTTCTCGTGTGACACCACTATAGCCATGATAGTCTTCTGGTCATCATCATCTAGAATCTTCTTCAATGTTTCCTTCACTGACAAAGGTACCTATGGTACTACTAGGGCAGAAGATTGTGCTGCAATAGCACTGGATATGTCAGACAGCTTTGAAGTAGCTGCTTGCATCGAGTTGTTGAGACTCTCCAATGTTTGGGAGAATCACAGTGCAGTCTGAGGATAAGTGGATGAGGATGGCATTGATAATGAAGCTGATGGTCTAGAAAATGAAGTTGGTGGTATGTCTATTGTCCCGATAGAAGGGCTAGCTGCTGTGGAAGGCATGGAATCTGTGGAAGGCTCAGCAACTGAATCAGTAACTACTACCGTTGGCTCCTCAAACTGGTCAGCGGAGGTAGTTGCCTTACCTTTGAACTTCGAGTTGTCAGCAACCTGTAGGTGGTACAATGAGAAAGGCTTCTTGGCCTTTACTTTTGTATGATACTGTCTCGGCTCCACCTTTTGATCATTGAAATACTTTGTGAGGAAGTTTGGGTACGAGTATGATCTTTTATCTTTTTGGACAACTAATATTATGTTGGTGGACATGATGTCACCCACATTGATCGGGCACCGATCCATAATCGAAGCCACCATGACTGCTCGGGGAAGTGGGAGGTTGTTCTCATTTAAGCGCGGATTAATGCGGCTGCACACGAAGGTCTTCCACCCTTTGGCTTCAAAATTTAGGGTGGCCAGGACTATGGGAACCCCTACCATGAGCCATGGGGGTGGTGGTCCTCGAGCAGCCAAAATCTCAGTTAGCCATGGGCGAGCTGCATCACCCATAGCAAGCTTTTCCAAATACTAGACCACCTCGACTTCTTCAAAGCCCACATAAGTGTTCAGAGCACATGAGTCGAATCTGACTTTCAGGTTTCTCACTTTTGTTATCTTGGTACCCTTCTTAATGTGAGCCACATTGGTATAAAATTCTTTAACGAAGTGCTCATTTGCATCGACGACACTGTGGCTGAACCATTTCCATACATTTTTCTCCTGGAACTGTCTAAGGACATTTGGGTTGTGAATGTCCATATCCTTCATTAATAACTGTCGCTCAAGTGTGAGAGATCTCTAGGCCCACCACTCTCTTAATCTGGTAAAGGCAGTCAGGCTCACAAATCAATTCTCCCATAACTCCTTCTTCTTAGACCTCTCTAGACCTCCCACTGTAGTGTCGCCCCCTCTACCATCATCTGGGACATCATCATCATCATCATCTACATTGATTGGTGCAGCCGGGGCATGTGAGGAAGAGGGCTCAGAATCTTGGCTACCATCTTCCGAACCCTCAGAAGGACTAGCAGCGGAAGAGGATTCATCTCTCAAGTGGAATCTTCCCGGGACTTGCTCGTGTTGAGATTAGGCATTAGGCAGTGCTTGCACAGAGTTACTCTCAGAAGCTTCCCTAGGAGGGAAATACTCACTGGAATAAGAGGGTTCAGGAACTCTTTTGGTGGTTGCTTTCTTGCTTATGGCTCTCTGTATGGCAAGTGGTAGGTTAATTTTGCCTCGACCTCGGTCTCGGGATGATTCTTCCCTTCCTTTTGATGTATCACCTCTACCACGTGATCTAACCATTGTCTACAATACATAATGATAGGAATCAGTTAGAATTGGAGGTCATAGATGCATGTATGATAATTGCAGGAAATCAGACTCATAAGAGGCAGTGCGGACAGCAAAAAAGTGAGTGCGGTCGCAGACAGCCGAGTGCGGACCGCACAATTTCATAATGCGGCCGAACAACTTCATAATGCGGCCGCAAAACCAAAAGTGCGAACCGCACAATTTGAGTGCGGCTATACAACCCCAGGTTCAGACTACTGGGTTCTCTGATCTTTTAACATTGTTGTCGCACACACTTTTGTGCGGACTACAATATTTTGAGTGCGGTCTGCACTTGTCATTCATACTTTTGCCCTAACTCTAAGACATGTGGATCGCACAAAAATGTGTGCGGCCGCACAATTTGAATTTATGTGGCACTACTTTACGTTTCATGCAATTTTTCACAAATTAGATATGGTCTGCACAAATTGACAAGATTAGTGGTCTACCCAGTCCCTAATGAACATATATGAAGCTACCCACATGATTTTGAAGCACATATTAAGCACATTTGACATTTTTAGGCCTAAAAATAACTAAACTAATCACAAAAAACAAAAACAAAAAATTAAGAAAAATGAACAAAAAACTAACATGGATTGAACATACCAGTAGTGAATGATGCAAGTGAGAATCTAAATTGATGAATTAAGTGTGATTTGTGAACTATTTTTGGGATGCACAGTGTTTTCTAGGGCTTGGGAGTTCAAAGAGCGTAAAGTATGAATAGTGGTGAAAGCCCTATTTATACTTTGACCAAGTCGGTCCAGAGATTACTGATAATTGGCTAGATTCATGTAATTTGGCGACTGTTTATGCCCCAGCTTGACTATGTTTCACTATTATAGGATAGTTAAATTATGATAAATTGGCTCTAATTGTGAAGTTCATGTTTTGCAGGAGCGAGTTGCCTGTATGAGGAATTAGAACTATGTTTGGAGCTAAATTGAAGCAAGGGAAGCCCTTCGGAGCTGAGTATGTTGAAAGAAGAGAGAAAGAAGGGCTGAAATAATGACCCAGACTAGTGTGCCCACTAGCGCGTCCACTAGCACGATCGCGCTAGCCTAGGAGTTCGAGGCAGAATGTTATGCCATATGCGGGGTCAGTAGCGCGCCCATTAGCGCAACTGCGCTAGTCCAATTCGAAAAAATAGAATTCAGGGGTAAAAATTGAAGTTCGGGGGTAATTCCACTTAACCTATAAAAGGTCCAGCTCGTCCAAAGGAAGATTATCAAGGTTTTTATAGCTTAGTTGAAGGCAAGGAGAAGCAAGAGGCAAGAAGGATAATTCAACATCGAGTTATTCCTTTCTTCCTTTTGTATTTTACCATTTGTGATAAATTTGGCTTTTGTTATGATGAACACTAGTATGAGTAGCTAAATATTTAGTCTAAGGTTTTGATGGAACCTATTGAAGAATGAACTTCTTGTTATGTTAATATAGTTTGCCCGGTTTAATCTCTATTTATTCAACTACGTTCTTGTTGTAGTTATTTGATAGGATCCTCAATTAGTTGTGCCTATTTAGTATGTATTACTCGGGAGAGAGTGCATATTTAGGTAATTGATGAACAACACCACTCCCAGAGTATATGAGGGGTCAATAATCGAGGATTTAAAGGCGGGATTAGGGATAACGAAGCCTTGGGTGCGATCTAAAGTGAGCTGTATTAAAAGCCAACTAGCATAACTTGGGAGAGTGCGTCTAGTAAATTGTCGTGATTACTCGGAAGAGATTACGGTAATAAGAGTGCTCATGATTGATAGAAACGATTAGGCAAATTTATGTGACACATAACAGGAAGGGATTCCATCAATAGGGGAAATCACAACCTCAGATCCTTCTCTTAATTGTTTAAAACTTAATCATAGTTAATCTTTTGTTACTTAATTACAGTCAGTTATAGTTAGTAGTAATATCCTCAATTGTTATTCAAAACATTTGGAAAGTTGATTCCGTAGAATTTAGTGAGTCTAACAAGAGTAATTGATAGTCTAATTCCTTGTGGGTTCGACTTTGGGCTAAATACTCAGATTATATTTGCAATGTCCGATTGTCCTTTTTTATAAGGCATAGTTGGGCATGATCAAATTTTGGTGCTGTTGCTAGGGAATTAACGGTGTTATCAATTACAATTGAAAGAAGTACAAAAATTCTTAGTGTCGTCAGTTTTCTCTATATCCATTATATATATTGAAATGTTAACGTTTGTTGACTTGGTTGTATAGGTGCATGCCTAGAAACGCATCGAGAACTGGTGAAATATTTGAAGCATTATTAGATCCTGAGAAAGTTTTCAAGGCCTAATCGGGCTAACCGGAAAAGCAAACAACAACAAACAACTAAAAATTCAAACCAGACATGGGGGATCACGTAGTAGACCCAGCTGCACCATTAGCGCCAATGGAACCTCTTGTGCCAGAGACTGCTCTATATGACTGGGCACAACCCACAACAGAGAACTTGAACACAACGATTTTAGTCCCCCAGATACAGGCCGAAAGTTTCAAATCACGAACAACATGCTGCACTTGTTGCAAAACAAGGGACTATTTTCGGGGTCACAAATCGAAGATCCTCAATAGCACTTGAAGAATTTCCTGTCAATCTGCAAAACTCAAAGGCAGCCCAACGTAACTCAGGAAGCAATAAAGTTGTTGTTGTTTCCATTCTCAATGACATGAGTGGCCCAGACTTGGCTAAACTCGCTCCCCATTAATTCCATAATGACTTGGGAGGAGTTAGTCAAGCAATTTGTGAACAATTTTCATCCACCCAACAAGACTGCTCAACAAATTGATGAAATTTTGAGTTTCAAACGGAGACCAATGGAGACACTGCAAGAAACATGGGAACGATTCAAAGGGATGTTGGTTATATGTACGCACCACGGTATTCCAAATCAGATGTTGGGGCAGCTGTTTTACATGGGTTTGGCAGATGGCGTGAATGGCAATGTTAAAGCTTCAGCTGGTGGAGCATATTTTAGCAAAACATGGAGAGAAAGACAGAGTCTGCTTGACAAGATGGCACAGAATTTGGGGTGGACAAACAGGAATGCACCTATCACTCCAGTGGTTCACTCAGTGCCCTTAGATCCATCCAAAACTCTTGCTGAAAACATGGCCACATTAATGACACAGATGAGTATACTCACCAAAAAGGTGGAAGAGTTAGGGCAGAAGCAGCAGGTACACATTGTAGACAGTACCAATGGGGGCTTATGCACATCTTGCATTAGTCAGCCAATTGGTAACTAGTGGAATACAGAAAGTGATCATCATCACTACCCTGAGCACATGAATTATGTGTCTAATTATGGAGGCCAGAGATAGGGTGGTCAAAATTGGGGCCAACAAAATCAGTTATACAGGCCAGTCTAGCCATAACTCAATAATGAAAACATGGGAGGTATGAGACCTCACAATAATATGGAGCCTTACCAAAGGCCATGGGGATATAATAATCAAAATCAGCAGTAGGGTTATCATCCTCCTCAGCAGCAGCATGGTGGAAGACAGTAAGATGGGTTTGCTAGACTCGAGGCAATGATGCAGCAGGTTATCGGGTCAGATGCAAAAATGAGTGAAAGAGTAGATGCACATGAGTCAGCCATTAAGAATATTAAATTGCAAATGACCCATATTTCGATGTCCTTGAATAATTGTCCTCTTGGGACATTGCCTGCAGACACGTAGGTAAATCCAAAAGATTAAGGCCAGAAGCAGCTGATGGCAGTGAGTCTACGTAATGGTAGAGACTTAGACTTGGAGCAAGACAGGGTTCGAGAAAGCAGATAAGCTGAGACACTTGTACCAGTGCCCATTGAGCTAGATGAGTCAACGAAACTGACAGAGGTGATAGTACAGCCTGCCCAGGAAGAACATAACACCCAAGTTGAGGCTGAGAAAGAAGCTAAGACAAAACAGGAATCGGTAGTTGAGGTGGTAGTTGACAAAGAAAATACTCATTGGGAAGAAGATACCCCCTACACCATTCCCATAGAGGCTAGCCAAGTACCAAAAAGAGGAATAATACAAGAAATTCTTGGAGATACTAAAACAAATCCAGGTAAATATTCCATTGATTGATGCATTGAAGGAGATGCCTGGTTATGCAAAAATGATGAAGGACTTGATGTCCCGAAAATTCGATTTCCAAGACTTGGCCACAGTGACTCTTACTCAGACCTGCAATGCGGTGGTGACTAGACCAATTGCTGAGAAGCTATCTGACCCAGGGAGTTTCACGATTCTATGCACTATTGGTAACTTTGCTTTCACCAAAGCACTTTGTGATTTGGGAGCTAGCATAAATCTTATGCCCCCGGCGATTTATAAGAGGTTGGGGATTGGAAGAGCCAGACCCACTTCTATATTGTTGCAGCTGGCTAACAAGACCGTAAAAAGACACTCTGGTATCTTGGATGATGTGTTGATTCAGGTAGGGAAATTTGTGTTCCCTGCAGATTTTGTGATTCTAGATTGCAAGGTGGATGAAGAAATTCCCATAATTTTAGGAAGGCCGTTCTTGGCCACTTGGAGAGATCTCATTGATTGTGAGACTGGGGAGATCAAGATGAGGTTGAATGATGAGGAGATAACATTCAATGTGGAGAAATCTATGAGGCGGCTAAGTGAATTCGCCAATTGTTCTCTTATTGATGTTATGGATGTGATCGTAGAAGCTGATGATGAGACGCTAACTATTGAGGACCCTCTTGCTGCATGTCTAGTAAATTTAGATGAGGTGAATGGGGAAGAACTGGCAGAATGGGTGTTGTCTTTATAGGACAGAGGGTTTTGGGATAGAACTCTTGAATTCAAGCCCTTGCACTTGGAAAGCAGAGAAACTCCTGTGAGCACGTGATTTTTGCCCTATGAGAACTATTCCCAAAAAATTCAAATAAATGGTTTCGTGTTGTTTGTGGTTTATTTATATTTTTGTCTGCGCATGTTTATTTCTACTTTAATTAAGAAAATACAAAATATGTGTTGCATGTGCATTTAGGATTTAATTTTACAATTTGGGAATTAATTGAACAAACAAGTTTGTGTTACAAAATGGAAAAATCGCAAAAAATATGTACTTTGCATTTAATGTCCGAATTGTGTGATTTTATCCTTATTTGTTGTTTAATCTCGTGTGATAGATTATTAAAAGTTAATGTTTTAGTTAATTGTCAATTTTATAATTTAATTAGGATTTTTAGTTGGTAATTAGGAATTAAAAAGAAAATAGAAGATAGAGAAGAAACAAGAGAAGAAAATCGGACTGGGCCAATTTTAAAAGACAGTCCAGGCCCAGTCCAAATACCCTCTTGCCCGGTCCAACCCAGCCAGCCTTGGGGGCGGATGGAACAACGCCGTTAAGGCATGAAAAATCTAGGCCGTTGATCTCACTTGATCGAACGGTCCAGTCAATCTCCAGATATATCCAAACGACGTCGTATATAGCCAATAGATCCAGACCATTCATTTCATTTGATCCAACGCCTCAGAACAATCCCCACAACCCGACCCACTTGCCCCCGGAT